ACTGAAAATCTACATATGAAATAACATCTAGGACTTGCTTTAATAATTGTGGGATGAGGAGGGAAGAGATGGAACAAGATTGGCTGGGTTGATAACTGTTGAAGCTGGTGATGGGCATGCTGGGTACATAAGATCTCCTTACTTTTAGATACACTTGAAATTTTGCATTAAAATTTTTTAAATAAAATTAGACCTATACTTTTTTACACAATAATTCAATTTTTGAGGCATGATACAAATTATTTAAAAAGATCTTTACTTTATTTTTTTACATATATTTTTATTGATTTCAGAGATAAAGGGAGAGGGAAAGAGAAATAGAAACATCAATGATGAGAGAGAATCACTGATTAGCTGCCTCCTGCACACCCCACACTGGGGATTGAGCCCACAATTTGGGCATGTGCCCTGACCAGGAATCGAACTGTGAACTCCTGGTTCATAAGTTGACACTCAACCACTGAGCCACCCCTACCCGGGCAAGATGTTTATTTTAAGATTACCTTTTAAAAAATATATATTTTATTGATTTTTTTACAGAGAGGAAGGGAGAGAGATAGAGAGTTAGAAACATCTATGAGAGAGAAACATCGATCAGCTGCCTCCTGCACACTCCCCACTGGGGATGTGCCCGCAACCAAGGTACATGCCCTTGACTGGAATCGAACCTGGGACCCCTCAGTCCACAGGCCGACACTCTATCTACTGAGCCAAACCTGTTAGGGCAAGATTACTTTTAATGGAAGGAAACTAAATGCTGAAATACAGGTTAAATAGATTATAGTAATTTCTTTCAATACAGGGGGACAAAAGTAGGTTTACAGTTGTTTTTATGAAAAATAATACAATAATTAATACATAAGAATACAAGAATAAACTGTTTCATGTACTCACAACTATAAACAGACTTTTGCCAAGCCCTGTATAATGATATGCACCCTTTAATTACATCTAGGAATAGTTTGTAAGGACATGGGAATGTGCTTATATAATATTAACTAAAATATAAGTCAAGATTATATTATTTCAAATAAGTGAAATATATATACCAACACAGTGAGATAAGAAGGAATTTAATTCTTCATGAGAAGGAATCAAATAACTATTTACAAAATGAAAACTAAACCTTTGTTGCAGAGAAATTGAATGAACTTTGCAGAGGTGACCCTGGTAATCTGCTAGTGGTCCTAAATCACTTACTGTGGCCTCCTGACGTCCTCTCTGCCAAAGCCCCTTTCATCAGACAATAAATGTCCCCATGTGGCTGACTGCTAGCCACTGCCCATCAGGCCCAAACATTATTTTTAATCCCTCTGCTCTGGTAGATAATGGTTCCAAATTCCAGGACTAGAGCGACAAGGCTTCCCCCAAGCTGTGCACTAGGAGCCAGACGCCATATAGTGTGCCTGTGGCGGTGGATAACCCACAGCACTCTACTGCTCCTGTTAAATCTAATTTCTCCTGCCTCTGCTGGCCCTGTCTGGCACCTGCAGAAGGATGGTGTCCTGACAGCCCATCTTGATTCTGAGGAGCTTTATCTGCACCTCTTGATTAGCATTCTATTTATATGCAAATAAGGACTTGCCTTCCTTGCTTGTGTATTAATTGCCACTATAAATTGTAGCTCTTTCTAAATCCAGGGAGTTGTGGGATTGTGGGATATAAGGACAGAAAGTGACCTTATAAAATAAGGGGACTTCATTTTAAAGATGAGCAAACTAGGGCTCAGAGTGACCCAGTAGATTCCTCAGGGGGATATTGCCAGTGAGTGCATCCAGACCCAATATGGAGATCTCCACCCTAGAACCCCAGTTCAACTGGAAAAAAAAAAATCACAGAGTAACAACAGGCCATCAATTATTCTGTGTGTGTGTGTGTGTGTGTGTGAGAGAGAGAGAGAGAGAGAGAGAGAGAGAGAGAGAGAGAGACTGACTCAGAAACAGAGGTAAGGAGTGGGAATTTTTAATCATTGGTTTCCAATGGTGGGACTCACCCCCTGAAAGTGGAGATTGTGCTCAGTTAATAATAAATGTAGCCCCTCGATGAACTTCTACTTTTTAAAAATATATATTATTCTTTAAAGAAATGTAGAGGATTAAATTATTTACCATTCAATTGTTACTGTTAAATGAATTAAACATGGAGGCCTTCAAACCCAGGTGGACCCAATTCACTTGGCACCTACATAAGCAAACTAAAATCTAAGCCTGTAAATGCCTCAAAGTTACAAAACTGAAACCGAAGGACAACCAATCACAGTCAACTAGGCTTTAAGCTATAGCCAATCAATCATTTCCTTACTTTGCTTCAGCCTTTTCTCTCTCAGCTCCTGTCAGCCAAGTGTTCCTAACCACTTCCGCTTTGGAGCTGCAGGATTCCAATAGATTTTTGCTCAAATAAACTCTTAACACTTTAAATATGTCTCAATCTGCGGTTTTTAACAATACTAGAAGAAAAAAATCCTATCGAATGCTCAATAAATATTTTAATGTGAAAAGAGAAGGAACCTCATAATAAAAAAATTAAGTTTTCTTACAGCATTAAAAAGGTGGGGGGTGGGTTGACAAGGAAATTCTGGGAGGTGTTGAAAGTTCAAGAGTTCATGAGTGGGATGCGCATAGGCAAACTTCTTTATGGTCACCCAGCTCCAATTTCAGTTCCCTTGACATAAACAGCGCTTGACAATTTCCGTTCACAGCATGCTCTGAAGACATGTGTTGCTGTCAATGGGACCCGGGCTCCCAGCTCTTGAACAAAAAGGTCAAAAAGAGGAGAAAGAGAAACCCCATACAGTGCTCTCCTTTACTCTTCCTCCAAACTGCCAAACAACAAAACTAAAATGATTTCATAGTGAGTTTGATGTCCTGCATTCAAGGGAGAATAATCCATGGATTAGGGGGAGGGGGGTCACAGTACCTCATCCAGTGATGGCGAACCTACGACACGCGTGTCAGAGGTGACACGCGAACTCATTTTTTTTGGTTGATTTTTCTTTGTTAAATGGCATTTAAATATATAAAATAAATATCAAAAATATAAATCTTTGTTTTACTATGGTTGCAAATATCAAAAAATTTCTATATGCGACACGGCACCAGAGTTAAGTTAGGGTTTTTCAAAATGCTGACAAGCCGAGCTCAAAAGGTTCGCCATCACTGTAAGCAGTAGAGCTCCCTGTGGGATTCTGGGCAACAGTGAGTTGTATAAAGTGTTAGAAGAGGCAATGTGGAAATAGGGCAGGACTGGCTGGGAGGTCCTGTTTCCTAAGGCAAGGTGAGCCGGCCAGCGCCGAGTTGGAGGACTGCAGCTGGTGTGTTGCCTTCCTTGACAGGTGTTTTCCGGAAGCGCAGGCTGACTTGGGTTCAGCTTTGCGTCCTGGACCGGCCTCCGCTTCAGAGTCTTAGTTATTATAGAGTGAACTAACTGCATCATCCCAGAAACATCCTCAGAATAACCACCAAACTCACTGAGCCCAAAAGACTTAGAAGTACTCTGGGCTCCCAACTGAAGTAAGAAAGTGGGCATTCGGTGGGAGGGGAGAAGTACAGTGTGAAATGGTAGATTGCATTAGGAGAAAGCAGCAGCCACATCACTATCACTTCCCCCGGAGCCTGGGTTTCCCACCAGATGTGGCAAATGCGCCTCGTTGACAACACCTTTCGAATCTTGCTTTAATTAGGAGAGACCAGCTCCCACTGTGCCTTCTTTGTGTCCCCAGAGAAAACCAACGCATTATTATTCCTCGGCCATCCTACAAGTTGCTGAGCCTTGAAAGACCCCACCGGCAGCTGCTGGAGCGTTGCTGAGGGGGCAGGGCCACATTTAATTGCTTCCCGCGTGGAGGCGGGTTAACGGGGCCTTCAGTCTGTATTTAACTCTGCAGCCCGTGATAGACTTCGGCGGTGGGAAAGCGCGCGCCGCTCCTCTGCACACTGTTTTATAACTGACGGGGGAAGATGCCCTTTCGTTCGGTAAATTGTATCTGGCCTTTCCAGCCCAGAGATAATTAATGTTTGTTCTCATCCAACGGGCAGATTCAAAGAAATACAGCTCCCATTAGCTCCTGCTCAATTAAGAAAAATGCTCATCCGCCCCCATGACTCAAACGCTGCTCCCAACTCTGTGAATCACAGGCTGGAAGGACCAGAGAGGTCGTCCTTGCCAACTTTGGTGCTTCAGCCCCAGGCCTAACAATGTCCAGTTCCCCCACCCGACTCAACCCATACCAGCTCCGTACCAGGCACTGCCCTAAACATGTATATGAACCAGCTCTTAAAGGATGAGCATGAACTAGCTGATAAATGCTGATACGTCAGCTAATTTAGGCATGGTCACAAATCCATGATCCTGAGTGTCACAGTAACCAACAAAAACTTGCGTATGGGTTCAAGTCTACTCCTGAAACCTATGAGCTGTGTGACCTTGCGCAAGTCACAAGAAGAGACCACATTCTTGCACGGGCATACCTCATTTCACTGCACTTTGCTTCATTGCACTGCACAGACGTTGCGTTTTTTTACAAATTGAAGACAAGACCCACCACCAGCAAAAAAAATAAGGACTTGCTTTATTGTGGTGGTTTGGAATCAAACCCACAATTTCTTTGAGGTAGGTTGGTACCTGAACAAAGCCCAATAGAATAAGGTACAGCTCGGGGGTAGATGTCACCATAGGGGAGTTCCCCTCACTTTGTTCCCTTTCCTCAGACTACACCCAGGCAGCCACTCCCAAATGCTGATGATCAGTCACCAGTGGCTTGAGAAAAATGGAAAAGAAAAAAAAAGAAAGTGGGTCAGCCCAAATCCATCACCATCCTTGAAAATAACACCTGTGATGTCATGTTTCTACATCTGTAATTTGGAGCTGAAAACGACCAATTGTAGGGGTGTTAACTGGAAGTCCTTTATGGAGGACAATTGACTAATATGTCAAAATTTCAAATGCCCATACCCCTTGACCTAGCATTCTATTTCTAGGGATATATCCTAAAGAATGAGGGAGTGCTCGCTTCAGCAGCACATATACTAAAATTGGAACAATACAGAGAAGATTAGCATGGCCCTTACGCAAGAATGACACACAAATTTGTGAAGCATTCCATATTTAAACAAAAAAAAGAATGGGGGAAATGTGTGTACAAGGATATTTATGGCCATTATGTCTGTATAAACATAAGATTGGAAACACTCTAGATGGGGAATTGACTAAACAAATTATGGTATATTTGTACAATGGAATATTACATTGTTAAAAAAATAAAGGCAGCTTTAACTAAATTTAAAGGATACAATTTCCAAGGTATTTTGTTAACTGAAAAAAAAATGAGCAAAGTGTTATTGTTATATTTTTTAAGAAGCATCTATACTCATTTGCTCATATGTGCATAGAATATGTTTACAAGGAATTCAACAATCTGGTAATAGTTACTGCCTCTGGGTAAGGACTTAAGGTGGCCTGAGGTCAGGAATGAGAGCAATATTTGTTTTCTCTTTTTAATATTAAGCTTGTGCCATAGGAATGAATTAGATGGACCGTGTCCAATCAGTTGAAGGTGGGTCTCGTTCAATCAGTTGAAGGCCTTAACAGAAAAAGATTGAGATCTCCCCAAGAAAAAGACAATTCTGCCTCAGAAATGCCTTCTGACTGAAGACTACAACATCAACTCTTCCCTGGGTCTCCAGCTTGCCTACCCTTTGATTTCAGACTACCAGCCTACAACAATTACATGGCTCCTGTCATCAGACATCACATAGCACACAACACTCTTGGTATAGCCTCTGCTAACCTCTTATTTATCGGTGTGTGTATGTCCAGTCCAGCTAGCTAGGCTACAAGGTCTGTGTGAACAGGCACCATGTCTCCATCATCAACATGCCTCCGACATCCAACAGAAAACCTACACCAGGAACAAGAGCCCACTAAAGATGTGCTGTTGAATGAAGCAGCACTTTTAGTGACAAAGGTCCTGATGCTAAATCCTTGGGTTTGGTTCATCCACAGATCAGCATCCAAATCAGCTCATCGAAGAGGAGGAACATGAAGGCAAAGGAAAATAAAGAGGAAAAACAACCCTTACCAGTTATTTTCAGTTACTAGGACACTTTACATGTTTCTTCAAGCACAGCCACCTAAAGACTGTCAAAGGCAATTCATTGTTCACATTTAATTGAGCAGGACACTGTAGTGAATTTCCACAACATAAGACTTAGTTTACCTATTTTAAAATTAAAATCCAGAATTCCCTTTTAAAATAAAATATATTTAAATAGAATAAAATATAAAGAAAAATGTTATCTGTGATTATCACTCTCCATTAGATCTCAGATGTCTGTAGAGTTTCATTGTACTTTTTTTTTTTTTTGTATTCCAGAGAGGAAGGGAGAGAGAGAGAGAGAGATAGAAACATCAATGATGAGAGAGAATCATTGATCGGCTATCTCCTGCATGCCCCACACTGGGGATCAAGCCCGAAACCCAGACACATGCCCCAACCGGGAATCAAACCATGATCTCCTGGTTCATAGGTCGACATTCAACACTGAGCCACTCCAGCCAGGCTCATTGTCACCTTAGGATATGTTTTTATTGATTTTAGAGGAGAGGACGGGGAAAGGAAAGAGACAGAGAGAAACTTTGCCTCCCTTACATGTCCTGACCGGGGATTGAACTGCAACCTGGGTATATGCCCTGACCAGGAATCAAACCCGAGACCTTTCCGTGTATGGGACGACACTTCAACAAACTGAGCCACACCAGCCAGGGCTCATTGTCCATTTTAAAAGGGAAATTATGACCCTCAACTTCAGGATCAAAATACCATTCCTGAAAATCAGACTAAATCCTAGGTTAAAAACCTCCGCTGACATCTTTCACAAAAGTTTTTTATCATTTGCAAGGATTAAAGGATTACAAGATTATAAAATTAATTCATCTTTGACAAATCATCTGAATCCTATGGTTTAGTTTTCTGATCAATAAGATTATTTTCAATGAGCACCAACACCAGCAATTCTGTCCCCTGAGAAAACTGATTTATAACCATGTCAAATGGAGATTTTCTTTTACTTCCTGTTTTTACTGTTCTGTCTTCAGCTGCCAACCCAGAACTTAGAGGCTGTCCCCTGAGAGCCAGGAGGCAGAATAGTCTGAGGCCTTCAGAGGTCATCCTTGAAAGCAGGAAATACTCAGCTTTGACCTGGTCTATTGAAATCAATATGACGTGGCATAGAGAAAGGAAGCAGGTGGTGGAGTACAGTTACATCAATATTTTTCTTTATTATATAATTGGCATTAAATTCTGTTACAAGACAAGAGGATTAAATGGACCATGAGAGATACAAAAATATATATGATGAATCATATCCCAAATGAATTCTAATCAACACTATAGGTTTTATGGTACAGACTTCATTTTCTTTTAATACAGTTATCTTATTTCCACTCTATGGAAAAATACAGTCTAAAGCATAAAGAAGAGAAATATGATCTCTGAATCCCATCACCAAAAGACACAACTATTAACATATCAGCATATTTGATCACAATCATTTCTCTCTGTGTTTTTCTATATAATTGTGAATCTTGCTTTTCCACTTAACACTATCCTATATAATAAAAGGCTAATATGCAAATGACTGAACAGCAGAAGGACAGGTCACTATGATGTGCACTGACCACCAGGGGGTAGACACTCAACACAGGAGTTGCCCCCTAGTGGTCAGTGCACTACCACAGGGGGAGCACCGCTCAGCCAGAAGCCAGGCTCACGGCTGGCGAGCGCAGTGGGCGAGAGGGCTCAGGCAGGGCTGAGGGAACCCCCCAAGTGCATGAATTTCATGCTGGGCCTCTAGTAATAAAATAATTGACTATGTTATTATAACATACTCTTCCTTATAGGGACTCATATTATCCTCATTTTTTTACATAAAGCTTTTTCTAAGGCCCCAGAGCTAGTAAGCAATAGAGCTAAGACTCTAACCCACCTCCAAAACCCATGCTCTTCCTACTATGTCCCACTCCTTAAAAACAGTCATTCCTTTTGGCCCAGTAAATCACCTTTTAGAAATCCATACGGACTCTGAAACGTACAAGACAAGTCTGGAACATCTTGAAATGCAGAAAAGCAAGGAACTATTAAAGACTAAACAGGTCATGTCAAAAGACAGCCAACTTCAGTCAAAAGGGCACATATGACTAGCAAAAAGAATAATAATGAATTAAACAATTAAAATGTTAAATACATAAAAAAAACTCATGCATTCAGACTAATGCTTTTTTAAAAACGTGTAGGTTGTTATAAGTTTACAAACTCATTACTCTGAAAATTTATAAATATGTAGAAAGAATCAAGAATTTATCCTGCTTTTCCTATACAAGTTATATTTCAGAGCAGCCTAATAATTGATGAGGATAAATTCTTTTTTATAGAAGAGTGATGGCTAATTAATGCAGAAGGAATGATGTGGGGGCCGGGGGAGTGCCATTTCAATCCTTAATGAGACACTGGATCTAGGCCACAGTTGTCAGGGAACGCTGCAGCCCCAGGTGAAATGTTTATAAGAAACTCGCAGAGGACGGGGCATGCTGACACCACTGACATGACTGAAAGTGAGGCCACCTGACAGCATGAGCTCCCAATATGACTCAACAGAAAGTTCACGGGATAAGGAATATCATGACCTAAAAAAAACATTTGAACTTTAGTCGAATAAGCCTCAGACCTAACTATGTTTATGGGAAATACAGAGAACAGAGGCACAAGTCAAAGACATCCCAGAAAAACAATGGTGCAATTCTAGAATATGGAATATAGAGGATAAATAATTCAATTTCACCAACAAATTCAATGGCATGAGAGGGAGGAGGAACTATGCAGACTGAACACTGTTGACTTTATTGGTTCTTATTATTTGAATAACCAACTGTAGAAGAACAAATTTGAGACAATTGGGGACATTTGAACATGCACTGGGTATTAGAATTTAAGACATTTTTGTTGGGTATATAATACTCAGGTGGTTACCTTTTTAAAGTCTTATTGCTTAAATGCATATAAAGTACTTTATGAGGAAAATGACACAACATCTGGTATTTCTTCAATTATTCCAGGGGAAAAAAGTGTGTATGTGTGTGTGAGAGAGAGAAAGAGAGAGAGAGAGAATATGAGTGTGTGAGTGTGATGGGAAGGAGCAGGAGGTAGAGATGGGTAAATGAAACAAGATTTATAAAGTGTTGATAATTGTCGAAGCTGAGTGATGAGTACATGAAGGTTCATTATACTAGTCTGTCTACTTTCGTGGTTTTGGTATATTCCATAAATAATCTGAGGAAAAACTGTCAGAAAAACCTGCTCCACATGCTTCTTACTGATTTCTTATCTATATTTGAAATGGATCACTGCACGTATTATCTGACTAGTTTTGAAACTGATGATTAAAAAAAGATAAACTATGTTCTTTTGTTACCCACTGCCGAAACTTTAAATAGAAAGAGCGTGAAAACTATCAATTTCAGAAATAAATTAAGTGAATTAAAAGATCTATGATATGCTCAGTGAACATGTCTTTCCTGTCGCAAAGAAATAACTTGGAGACGGAAAGAGAACATAAATCCCGCAGATCAATTGTCTGTGATCTTCTTTAATGAGGTGAAGGTGCTGATTTTTTCCCCCAAAAAATCTGATGCTGTGGGTAACAACATGAAACAAAATTGTGCATGGAGTGAGAAAAAGAACACGCATGACAGCCTTGCTTTTCCAGGAATACAATGAAGCAAGCCAACAGCATCCAGGGGTTAAAAATAAGACCATTCACCATATGCCCACACACATTCCCTATAATGACAGCTGGGGATCTAATTTTAAAAACACACTACATTTCCAAAATACTTCAGCAACATCTATCTAAACAATGGATTAGAACTTGATTGAAAAATAAATAATTGAAACACCAAAAGCTCACCGAAGGAACGATGCTATGTGGGGAGCCTTCCCATAGAAGCAAAGCCCTTTGTGTTCGAAAGTTTTCTGCTGAATGAAACTACTGAATATTTTAATATTCAATTTGTGAAGGAGAAATTACTTACTCTTATTCACTAGTTTGTTTCTAA